CTTAAAAGCCATTTTCTACTATCCATGGATTGCTATACATAGTGAACGTATGCCACACCATTCTCTGTGCTTAATTGTTCTTGCCTATACCATTTGAGCTCTATGTTTGTAGGCTATGTACCATGATTGAAATTGGTTGCCCTCTGAGTCATATTTTGCACTATACACCCTTTTACACACAAATTACTTAGGATGGTATCAAATTATTTTGCAGCCCCGGGTTTGATTGTTTGCTGTTGTGTGTTACTATGAAGGTTGACCCAATTTCCTTGCACTACCCATTCACATATTCTTTCTCCTCTGCAGATAATGTCAAGCAATTCTAGAAGGAACACACCTAGAATCAAGAGGAGTAGGACAGCTGAAGCCTCTTCATCTCAACCCCCTCCTACTCATGACCCAAGGTTTAGGTCCCCAGAGCACGAACAATATTTCAAAGAGAACATCCTGCGGCGCCAGATCGTCCAGGACAGGAATTTTGAAGTCCATCAGGGGACATTTCCACAGTTTCAGGAGGAAATAGACAGGCGTGGCTAGGGACTTTTCACTTCTTGTGCAGGCAATGGGTGGAAGGACATCACCCAGGAATTCTATGCTAATGCCCTGCGCCTGGAAGATGACATTTACCCCCACAGGCACACCATGGTCAGGGGTAAGCAAGTTAGCTTCACTCTAGCCACCATCCAGAGGGTTTTAAACATCCCTCCTCTGTAGAAGCAACCTGGCCAACTGGATTTCACTGCATTCTGCAAACAGAAGGAAAAAGATTACCAGCCTATACTTCAAACAATCTGCATGGAAGGAGAAAATTGGGAATTTGATTGTAAAATGCAGCCCAAAAATCTGACCACTAAACACCTTCTCCCTCCTGCCAAGGTGTGGAGTATCTTTGTTGTCAGCTCATTCATGCCAGTCATCCACACCTCCACCATTGCAGTGAAGAAGGCAAAACTCATCTATGCTATTCTCACTGGCATGCCCATCCATGTTGGAGAGGTCATCAGCAGCGCCATGCTAGAAGTCCTTAAAAGGAGCAGAGATTCTTTAGCTTTTCCCTCTCTAATCACTATGTTATGCCAGGATGCATGTGTTGATTTTGGAGACTACCAGCAGAGAATTAGAGCACTTCCTCCCATTTCCACTGCCTTGGTGAAGGACCTATTTAAGCCAAAGAAGTCTTCAGACCCAGGTCTCACATTGCCAGCCGAATACAAGAAGGAGACCCCTACAACACTCAAGGAGCAGCTGCAGCAAATAGCACAGAGGCAGACTACCATCCACTCTGGTCAAACCAGCATGCTCCTCCTCATGGAGACCATGATGCTGAACATTGGCAAGAAGATGGGGATGACTTCAGACCAGATATATCAGGCCCACCGTTTCCCTGCCCCTTTCCTCCGAGCTGCTGTTCAGAATGACCTGCCCCCATTCAATTCCAATGCCCCCAGAGATGTCCGCAACTCCAGTTCCTCAGAGGAAGCAGAAGAAGTAGAGGAAGATGAAGGCGCCACCTCATCCATCTCTGATGAAGATGCCATTTAGTCCACCTTTCGTGTTTTCTTTTATTTCTCTGCTTGTACTTATTTTCTTTTATTTTCCCAAGTAATTAGGAACCACTTATCCTTTTATTGTCTTTCCCTTCCTGCTTTTATGTTACTTTCCTTCAAACAGTTATGTTACCTTCCTTTCGTTCTTTTTCTGAACTCTTGTTATCATTGTGCAGAGATGCCCTCAGTTCCATCAAGAGGAGCATCATTTTACCCTTAACTTTGAATACATCATCTATAAAAGAGGGGTGAACTCTTTGTCTCTATTTTGCATTTATTTGTAGCTTACATTTCCTACACCGTACTAGATAAAAGACAAAAATATTTTCCTTATTTCATTTCTTCTCTTTTCCATTTAATCTAGTTCTCTTTCGTATTTTGCTTTTATGCTCTGATTGCATTTCCCATCTAACTCCTACTCATTCTCATTTTTGTACATATTTACTGTCCCTACCATTTTGAACATATTTTCTTGTCGGGTGAATTGTACTCTCATTTTGCAAGTTATTATCACTTTTACCATGGTAGTGAATTGGGCCTTTCTTCCTTTTTTCTGTGTGCATATTACATGTATTTTTGCATTCATATTCTAGAACTTGCCCTGTTTCTTAATTAAATATGCATTGTGTAATTTTTCATCTAGATGATTGAGGCCTTCATTGCACATTCCCCCCACCCTTGCACCTCCTTTCCCTTGTTCCCCATGTCTTACTTTTACCAAACTTAGTCTACACCAATAATTTCCCTTCCTTAATAGAGGCAGTTCTTTTGAGTTGCCTCAAGATTTAGTGCAAGCAACTAAGTTTGGGGTGCCGATTATGAGTGTAGTTGCTTGAGGACAAGCAACATCTTAAGTTTGGGGTGGTGGACAGCATACATGTTAATAATACATGTCAAAAAAAAAAAGAGAAGAAGAAAAGAATGATTGTCAAAGTCCATGATAAAAAAATAAAAAATAATAAAAATAATAAATAAATATAAAAAAAATGAATGAATGAAAAAGAGCAAAAGAAAGAAAAACATAGCAAGGCAATTGAGTTGAGAAAGATGCCCACATAAGGCAAATAAAAAATTAATGTGGTGAAAGAATGCTTTAACCTCTTAAGCTACATCATTTAAGGCATTCCACTCTAGTTGTTGCACTAAATCACTCAAAAGAACTCCCTCCTCTTGAGTACCCACTTGATCTTGTCACCTTCCTTGGTTAAATTTGAGCCTATCCTAACCCCAATTGTGACCAACAAAGCCCTCATGATAGGTGGTTCGTTGTGTCTAGGCAAAGGAGATTGAGAATATGGGCAAGCCTATGGTAGGGTGAGGCTAAATGCATGGATTGAGGGAAAACACTCAGCCTGAAATGTTATTGAGTGATGAGTGAAATACCACCTTGTGAGATGGATAGTTTCTTTGCATTATGTGAGTCACATGAAACCTTGCTTGATTCTTTTGTTTCAATTTAGTGGGACTTTGCATGGAATATTTGACATGAATATGATTCGTCTGTTGAATGAGTCTATGGTTGTGAAGATGTTGGAAGTGCTAATTAAAGCATGAAGTTGGAATGAAAATCTCTAAAATTTTTTTTGGATAAATCCAACCCTCTTCATTTGCTTTGCTTGAATTTTGATTTGCTTGAGGACAAGCAAAAGCTTAAGTTTGGGGTTGTGATGAATCCACTTTTTATTATATTTTTACTTGCCTTTTTGGTGCTCCTTGATAGAAAAAATGGACTTAGATAGTGCAAATAATATAGAAATCACATTTTGAGTAAATATCATAGGTTTATTAATTTTTGGTTAATTTGCATTTAATTACATAGATATAGATTGCAATTTTAATTATCTTGATAATTTTGCAGAGTCTCCAAGTTAATTTTGAGAAATCTTGGTCCTTGGATGAAAGTTGCCCCCAAAGTAGCCACTTTTAGGAGCAAAAGTGGCAACTACAGCAAGTTTGGGCATTAAAGGTTCCAAAGTAGCCACTTTCAAGCCCAAAAGTGGCAACTCCAGGGACGCCAATTTTGAAGCATGATGTGCGTGGCCACTATTGCCTTTCAAAGTGGCTACGCGCATCCAAAGTTCTCACTTTCAATACCAAAAGTGGCAACTCCAAAGAGCTCCAGGGACGCCAATTTTGAAGCATGATGCGCGTGGCCACTATTGCCTTTCAAAGTGGCTACGCGCATCCAAAGTCCCACTTTCAAGACCAATAGTGGCAACTCCCGAGAATTGACAGATTTACGAGAATTGCGCGTGGACACTTTCAAGGCCCAAAGTGGACACTTTCAAAGGCAAAAGTGGACACTTTGTTGACATGTCATCCACTATAAATAGAATTTAGGAATTAGGGTACGGGACTTTTGACACTTTACAAAATTTTCCTTTGCCAAATTGGGACATTTTTCTAGAACATTGGAGTCTTAGGTGACAGCCAAGGGTCCTCTATAGGTTTTAACTTCCAAGTTTCCTTTTGATTTTGGTTGAATTTACATTAATGTTACTTACGTTCTTGCATTTCTTTCTTTCATTTGTGAAACTTATCCACATGGAGGGCTAAACTTCCTTGTAATTCCTAGTCAATGCACATGAATCTTGAATTCTTGGGATTAATTGCAATACAAATCTTTCTTTCCTTGAATTTATTGACCCTAATCTTTGAATGAAATGGAATTTGCATGAAGGGAACATTGCTTAATGAACCCTAAATTACCCAACAAAATTCTAATTCAAAATTGCTTAATTTTGATTAATCCTTGAGGTTGCTTAATCTTAGGGATAGAGATTGGAGCCCATTAAGATGCTTAATTTTAATTGGGATGTTAAAGTTAATTTTTGCTTGTTAGATTAACTTAATTCAAGGGAAAGAAAGGGGATTATTGAATCATTTGAAAGAATAATGATGGAACTCGTTGATTGACTAGGAATTACTCATTTTAATTGATTGAATTTCACTAGTTTACACTTTCCTCTTGATTAAAATCTGAAAATTGACAAACTTTCCCCCAATTTACTTGCTTTAAAATATATGTTCACACTTGTTCGATGTATGTTCCCAACCAAAAATTCCTTGGAGACAACCTAGGACAACACTCTAGTACTGCATTTATTTCTTTGCATATTTGATGAAGATTAACGACAATCTTTTTCATGACGAATAGCTAAAATCGTTTCATCATCCAACAAAACATGGTTGGCGACTAATCAATCTATTCCCAAAATCACGTCTAATTAGGAAAGAGGCAAACATATTAAGTCTACCTCAAAGTCCCTACTAAGCACCATCACAGAACACCCTAGACACACCCACGATGTTACGACCGGTTTACCCATAGGGGTAGTCACCACAACATTGCACGACAATTCAGTCTATGAAAATGAATGAGTGCATAGCACCCGAGTCAAACAATACATCTAGCAATCTGCCCTTAATAACACATTTACCTCTGATCAGCTCCTAAGACTGTGAAGCCTCTGCCCCACTCATGGCAAAGACCTTCCCCGAAATGCTCGGCTTTGGCCCCATGCTTCCTCTCGACTCAGGTCTATGGCTGGTACTCACACTGCCGCTCGTCTTAGGAGCAGCCCAGCAAACATTTGCAGTGTGTCCCAGTTTTCCATAGTTACCATAGTTGGTCTGTGGCTATGGGCTGTCCCTCAGCATGTGTGGACCTTGAGGCAATTTAATCGATGAAATAAGGTAAGGGGTTGAGAAAATCAAAGGAGAAATGAAGAGAAAGGGTAGGAAATGTGTTTCCCGAACCCTAAACCCCTTAAATACCCCAAGAGTCGCGATATTCTTGCTATAGCGAAAATGAGACAAAACTGCACTTAATTTTTTGCATAATCTTGCTACAGCGAGACCTCAGCATATGTGGACCTAATTCAATTATTAATTCAATCGAATAACCTAATTGAATAGAATTATGAATTAAATCAAATAATCATTTAACCTAATTCGTATTAATTATCAAATTAGAGCATCAATCGAGTCCTAATTTAAAATTTAACAACAGAAAAGTCAATCATGATCGCAATAAACAATTCTGAGATTAGAGAGAAAAAGAGAACAAACTCAGAGCAATTAGCGCAAATACAGTGTTTAGATTCTACGGATTAAACTAGAGGTTTAGCCTTCCATCAAAATGCTTAATCCATGCAAGAATGAGAAAAGAACGAGAGAGTTTGAGAGAAAGTAAAAACAAGGATTCTTATTTCGGCCTAGTCTTAAAAGCTCAAAGTGTCTAATCACCTCCTCTAATTCAAAACCTTATTAGTCTATTTATAGGTTTTGATGAGGGTAAATTAAGTGGCTAAAATGTGGGCCTCAATAATATCTAAAGTTCAAATACAATTATTAAATAACAAGGGTCCAAATGCAATCCCGCAACAACATTCAGCAAATCTGCCTCAACTTCAAAAAATCATAAAAAATTGAAAACAAGGGTTCATATATGCATTTTGAAGCCCTGGATGTGTAGAATCCAATGCAACTAGAATTAGCCCAAAAATGATATCTGTAGAAAAAGTTATGGCCAAAAGAGTAGTCAGAGGTTAGAATAACCAAAAATACAGAATTCAAGCATTTATTTGTAATAGGCCCAATTTATTCAAATAAGAAGAAAATGGTAAAAACTATAAAATAAAGCATATGAAAAGTGTTTATGAATCAAAATAAAACATTAAATGTAAACATAAAATATGTTACATCAGGACCTCCACACCTGAAGCATCTTATTGCCCCTCTGAAAGAGCCAGAACCAAAGCCACTACTGTTGCTTCTCTCCTGTGATAAGGTCTCTTTGGACTTAGAATGGCTGGAGCTCGAGTATGGCCCCTTAAAGAACTTAGGGGTTCTTTTGTCTTGGCTCATCGGACCACTCCCTCTGGTGTCAAATTGACTACATAAATCTTCCTCTCCATCCTCGTGCTGGTAGTAAGGCCAGTACATCATCAGCTCTTGGAATTTGGCTGCATATTCCTCCACAGTCATATTTCCTTGCTTTAAGTCAAGGAATTCCCAAGCCTTTTGCTTCTTAAGATCCCGAGGAAAATAGTTTCCCATGAAGCTCGTCTTGAACGCCTCCTACTGAATGTAAACACCTTCTTGTGGCAGATTCTAACTGGCAAACCTCCATGAGTCCTTTGCCTTTCCACATAGCATGTATGTGGCGGAGGTCACCTTGTGCTCTTCCCTGCACCCTATAACATGGAAGACATTTTCCACATCCATCACCCACCTTTGGGCTCCCTCAGGGTCGAACTTTCCCTCAAACTTCGGAGGGTTATACCTAGCAAAGGTGGACAGCCCTTTATACTCTGTTGGCTCTCTATCTTAGTTATGCACCAGTGCCTCTAGAACTTGACTCATCTGCTCTAGAAGGTAATTGGTGATACTCACTCCTCTACCTCTACCAACCATTTCTAATCTAATCTACCAAACAAATTCAACAATCCACAAATTATCAGGTCAGATCAACAACAACACTCACAATTCAGGTAAACAAGAATATATCCACATATAGCTTGGATGCATTAGCCCCAATACCCCAGTCCGATTTGGATGAACTACTCTGATACCAAAATTGTAACACCTTAATTTATTTTTAAAGTGAGATATTTTCGCAAGTAAAAAGAGGATAATAAAAATTTCATTTCAAATGACTTTGAGTATAATGTTTCAATAAAGTATTTCAAAATAAGTGATGGGTTACAAATTTGAATCAAAATAAATGCTACAGGACCTATTTAATACATCACAAATTTCAAAATAGTTTTCTAAGTCCTATAGCAGTATCATGCATCCCATTCACTGAGCTTGACATTGATCGTCTTGGTCGCCTAAAAAATAAATTTAAGGGTGAGTCTTCTACACTATCACACACACAAACATGGAGACTCGCCTTGCCCATTTCATAACAACCACTAATATGATAAAATCACACTTTAACAGCATTAATATATTCTTTCTAACAATATACACACATATTTGCATATCAACTCATACACAGATTTATTCACTGTAGCTTCAATCATTTAAGACACACACTGCACTCACTGCATGTTAGCCACACTCACTGTGGCACTATGATCACAGTTTCCTGATGCCCTTAACCTCAGAGACTTACTCAGTTTCACACCATGGATGATTGTTAATTAGCCCCTGCCTCACTGATACAATGATGCAGTCACAGGCCCCATAGCAAAGGTATTGGTCAGAGGTTGAGTCAAGAGAAGAGAGTGTGGCCTATGGTGCACCCATGCTCAGGATTGGTGTCACCACCACTCTTTTTTCTCCAAAGTATTTCTACCGCTCCTATTTTTCACACCCGTAGTGTATCGCTGTAACCATCCATAGTTTTCAACCATTTCAAACACAATCACAATCACAATCAACATGTCATTCTCACACATTTACCCACATTCTCAATCGTATCACATAATCATCTTCACACACGGCATGTATGCACACATTCAATCACATTATACTCAAACACATAATTTCCATCACAAATCTATTGCAAGTCTCATCATTTTCATCACACACATTACTCAATATCTACCACATTATGTTCCACACAAAATCTCTGTCAAAACACACATTTGCCTATGTTCTATCTTAACCAAATTTTGATATCTCATAACATAAACAAAATTTAAGCACAAGGAGATAAGGTAGAGTCCCCCTTACCTCAGAATGAAGACCCATAATGAAATCAATGATAAAAATGCTCTCTACACAGATATTCGTCCTAAATACATGAAAAATTCCATGAGAAATCAAGAAGAATGAAGAGAGGGTGAAAACGAAAACCCTAAATCATAAAACTTATCTCCAAATGCCCCAAACACAATCAAAATCTTCAATCTAGGGTGCAAACGATCTTGGAGGCAATTTAATCGGTGAAATAGGGTGAGGGGTTGAGAAAATCAAAGGAGAAATGAAGAGAAAGGGTAGGAAATGTGTTTCCCGAACCCTAAACCCCTTACATACCCCAAGAGTCGTGATATTCTCGCTATAAGAAAATATGAGACAAAATTGCACTTAATTTTTTGCATAATCTTGCTAACAGCGAGACCCTCTCGCTGCAGCGAGGCTAACCCAGAAAACTATCCTCCTTTATGTTGCCTTCTCGCTACAGTGATGAGCCTCTCGCTACAGCGTGAATATACCAAAGACACTCACATTACTTACACCATTCTCGCTACAGTGAGAGACAAATGAACTTGCCCAAGTTCTTCTCGCTACAGCGAGAATGCCCTTACAGTTCAACGTCAACCTATATTCCAATCAACTTCAGCCCAACCACAAGTCAAAATTTGCATTTAAATCACTACATATATACACATAAACATGTACTTATTCACACCATTATTCATAAATCAAAATGCATATCCAATTAATAATGACATACATTTACTTATATTAATAATCCAAATATTATTACAAAATTCAAGGTGTTACAGCTCTCGCTGTAGCTAGAATGATAGACAACATATGTAAATTTTGTCTAATTTTTTCAGTACAACAAGAGAAGAGCTCGTTGTAGCGAGAATATCGCAAGTGAAGAAGTATTTAAGGATTTTTAACTTAGAAAACTTGGATTACAATCCATGTTTTTTACCTCTCCCCTGTTTTCTCTGCTCTCTAACCATCTCTTCTAAAAAATCCCTACTAAACTTTGACTTTCCTCCAAATTCAGGCTTGGAAGTTCACCTAACAAACTCCAAGTTCTTGTAGCTTAGTTCTCTTATTTTTGTTTGTTTTCTATGTTTTCCTTTTCTCAAAATGCTCTCTTTTGTGATATCTAGGAAAAGTTAAGACCTTTCAGTGAAACCCCTCATAAATCTTCATTCAAAACTTTGTTTCAAGGTAAGGAGGGCTCTACTTTGCCATTTTAAGCATAATAAATATTTTGTACCCATGAGAGTACTTTGTGCATGTGTTCTTGTATGATTTTTATGATTGAATGACATTGGATTGTTGTAAAAGTATGTTTGGTTGATTTTTGGTATTAATGATATATTTTGATAGTATAAGCGTTAGGAACTTAGTTTGAAAATGCTTTACTAAGCACGATCTTTTACTTTAGTAGTGAGTTCGGTACAAAAAGGAGTATGAGATAAGTGTAAAAAGCTGAATGGATCTAGTGTGAATAGTTACAGAGATACATTTAGGGTATAAAGTCCAGAGATGATGGGAAATCTGGGAGAAATGTAGGGTGATGAGCGACATTCGCGAATGTGTACATACTCTTTTTGAGAGCAAATGTGCTACATGGCCTCACACTCATTTGTTGACTAGACTTCTTACTGTACCTTTGCTAAGAGGCCTGTTATTTTATACGTTGTATTCATATGCATGGACTAATTGGTGACTATTTACCTAGTAGTGTAAGACCTCAAGAACTGTTAGAGGCATCGTATATCTGTGATCACAGTGCACTAGGTGTGCATATATGAAAGAGAGGAATATAATAACTTGTTATGGAATATATGCATATGTGATACCTTGTTTTGAGATCGATATTATTATGTTCCCTTATGTTCCATGATTATGATTGTGTTGTGATGTTGGTCTTTAAAATAGTATTATGTTTAAATGATAAGATAAATGTTCATTCTTACTAAATATTTTAGGAAACCAGGATGACAACACATCAGGAAAGAACTAGGCTAATAGACAATTCTGTACACAATAGACTAAACTATGTATTGAATGAGTACCAAAGAATATGCTATTTTGAGTTGGTTGTCCATGTTGATGATGTACCTAGGAATATTATTATGTTAGAGATGAACCTATTTTATAGTATTCCCTTTGATTTCCTTGTAAGTATAATACACCATACTCTATGCATCTATATCTATAGAGGCACAGTTAAGACCCCAGCAGATTTCACATATCTGTTTATATATCATGATTATTACCATCTTGGAAGATCGACTCGAGTTACCGGTGAAAGGGTTAGAAGTATTGAGGTTACGGTCAACTCAAAAGATTTATATCTTGAATCAGATGATGACCTCGATTCTAAGGATTTATAGAGAGATGGCATGGGGATAACTAGTACTGGGACCTCAGTGTTGGGATGTATTTTGAGGCTGCTCCAGGACTCTATCTATTCTATTTATGTAATTATTATTTGAGTCCTATGTATTTTGACAAACAATTTGTAAATTAATATTGTATTTAACATATATAAATGCAGACTTGTACCCATATTTGTAAAATTATTCTAGTTGATTATGATTTTTATTTCAGTGTTAATTAATATTGTATGATCGGTAAATTTTAAACTAATTTTATTCACAAAGAGATATTTTATTTACCTATAATTACAATGCTTGTCATATACCAAAAAGTTCATATTTTATACCAAGTTTGTACAAGTAGAACAAGCAATTTAAGACTAAAATTTTAGGATGTTACAATCCATTTGAGGATTTTAAGTCTACTAATATTGTGATTAATTACATGTGGGCTTTGGATACTTAATAATGATCTATGTGAAATATAGTGTAAGCTTAACCTTTAGACCCATGATGGGAGGTGCTTAAGATTAATAAATAATATGGCTAAGTCTCCTTTGTTATCATAAAAACACATTCTATTGCTCTCTATGTTTGCCTCATTGAGAACTTAGGATTAGGAGAGCGTGATTAGATAACAAAGGTCTTAACTTTTTACTCATGAAAGATTTGTACCTCACGTAAGCTGTTCATGATACAATTCACAATATCTACAATAAGTAAGTGATTTTATAATTAGTATTCTATACTCATTTAAAAGATCCACACAAATTTTATTCTTACATTTGGTGTCAGGTATTATCATTATATGATTTAGGACCCAATTATTTGTTGAATTTAGAACAAATTTTGTGGTGTATATTTTTCATTGTTTCTATAGTTAATGGTTTTCCATTGCCTCTTTTATTCTATTATGTGATGCTACCATCCATGGTCGATTGCATTGATATATATCATATAATTATATATTAAAATGTGAATTATTAATTTTCATTTTAATTCTTAAATTAAATTGTCGACTGCCTATGTCAA